GGTGGCTTTGTCTCTCAGGGCGAATAGGAGAACTAGCAGGGCTCAGAGCAGGACGAGGGGTGCATCAGTGTGTGTGGGGGGGAATCTGGGGAGCGCCTGAGTGCCCCATCTATGGCTCTCCTCTCTCACCACCATCAAAGCCCCCGGTCCCCTCCCCACGGCTGCCCCTTCATCTGGCCAGGGTGGGATCAAGGGGGGGGTCTTGTGAAAAACACCCCAGTGAGATGCACACCCACCCCTGTGCAACACAGCTGGTGCTCAGCTGCCTTGCCCCACCCCAGCAGTGGCTGCATTTCCGCCCTGGGCGAGTGAGTGTTACCCCCCACTATCCCACATGCAAAGTCGCACTCACCCCCCCCCCAGACACTTGTGCTGACCAATGTGGTTAATTAACACTAATTGGCCAAGTAAAGGGGCTGGAATTAGAGAGGGGTCTGGGAAAAATTTCTTATAGCTGTGATCACCCTGACAGCAGTACCCTGGTGGGACACCAGCACTGTGAACTTCCCCACAGCAGTGTCCTGTGTTGCGAGCTTCCTGACAGCAATGCCCAGGACCTCAGTGTGCTGAGCTTCCCGACAGTAGTGCCTGGGTGTGCCCTTCTCAGCAGATGTGTCGCTCCTTGGCGAGGACTCCTCAGTGGTCAGCGGGGGAGAGGTGGGGCACCCCCAGACCCTGGGGAGACAGAGAAGCCAGGAGAGCCCCCTGCCTGGGGCTGGCAAGGAAGGTATGAAAGTGCCGGCAGCCACCTTTGTGGGGGTGGAGGGGCCATGAGCATTTGCGGGCCAGGGAAGGAGCTAGGATCCTGGAGCAGGGACTTGGTCACACATGTTAAATGCCTCAGCGGGCAGGCCTGCAGCAAGGAAGGGGTTAACGAGAGAGGTCAGGCCCAGGCCCAGAACCCTCTTGGCCTCAGCCGGGGTCTCTGGCACCCTCCAACCCACCCACCCCCGGCGTTGTGGGTGCTGATGGCTTCTGTTACTGCCCAAAGATCCCGGCTGGCCCCGTGTGCTGCGATCAGGGACCCAGCCAAATCCCAGCTCAGGGGATCGTCCTTCCCTTCGGGGATTCAGCTGGAGACGGGCTCCTCCCTCACGTCCCTGCAGTCTTGCAGTGTGGCAGTTAACCAGCTGCCACGCCTCGCCCCAGAGGTGGCTGCCGATCAGTGGCGGGGGAGTGAGCCCTGTGCACGGTGGCAACAGAGAAAACCCTCCAAGTGCGAGTCCAAAACCCGAGTATTTTAATGGCGGATCAAACACGGAGCCGGACGGGGCGGAGACGCGGGTTCGAGGGGTCTGGCGTGTGCGGCCCCAGGCGGGATAATGGCACCGAAGGGGCCTGGCACCCGCCCCAGTGTGTTCATCTGGACAGTTCGAACGGTCACTGCGCAGCTCCCTCCCGAGGGCCGGGCTCGGTGAGCAGCCAGCACGTGGGGCGTGCATGCAAGGGACAGCGTGTGTGTGTGTGCGTGCCTGTGTGTGTGTGCATACGTGTGCGTGCATGTATGCATGCATGTGTGCACACATGAGTGTGCACGTGTGTGTGCACGCGCGTGTGCGTACGTGTGTGTGTGCGTGCTTGTGTGTGTGCAGAACTGCACTGCTGCACCAGAGGAAGGGATGCTGAGGTGGGGTGACGTCTCTGAGTGTGCAAAGGAGATGGATCAGGGTGTTGAATGTGGGAGGGGAGCTGAAAACTGGGTGAGACTGAAATGGGGGTCGTGACTGGGTTGACGGGGGGGTGAAGGGGAAAGATGGAGCAAGGAGGATGAATTGGAGAACACCCCATGCACGTGCAAACACACTTGCACACACGTGTGCAAACACCTGCACCAATGCACATGCACACTTGCATACACGTCCCCCTGCCTGCACAGCCACGTGTCCTCGCTCAGACATGTGCCTGCAAAGCACACGCATGATACGCACACGCCCTGCCACCAGCCCAGGTCTCTCTCGGGCGGGGAAGAGCCACTGGGGTGGCTGGGCCTGGTGGTTGGCTGGTGGGTGTGCGGGAGGGGGCGTGGGGTGAGCAGGCGTGGGGCTGCGATCAGGAGTGTTTCTGCAGGGGTGTGTGGGGGAGGATCCAACGGGGGATGTGGTGTCTATGTTGGAGCAGCAGTGGGGGGCCGTGGTGGAGCGAGGGGGGGTGTTGTGTGTACGGGGGAGGGGAGCGAGCAGGTGGGGGGCCATGGGTGGAGGCGAGGGGGGGTGTTGTGTGTACGGGGGAGGGGAGCGAGCAGGTGGGGGGCCATGGGTGGAGGCGAGGGG